AACCATTATGTTCCGGTTTCTCTGGGGTACATGAGTCGGCCCTGAAAGAAATTATTAATTACTTAGTCTGTTTTCCAATTCTGCATCCTAGAAACTGTTAGACAATATAGTCTGCATAAGTTTCATTCACTCTTGCAGCTAATTTTTCACCATAAAATTCAAACAACTCTTATCATGTTGTCCCAGCTAAGTACGACCACTTCAACAAATCAGCGTCTGAACATCAAACGTGAATAGAAATTCCCTCCTGCTACACACTGAGTTCGCCGCCTTCGTAAAAGAAGACATTCAGGTAGTTATGGTGTACTAAGAGGGTTAGACCATCCCTTCCAGTACTACTAAATTGCTCTTTACATAACCCGGCGCGCAGATAGAGGAGTTAAGAGGTACTAGCGCACTGGCTATCTTTTTAGTTTCGAGTGATTATAAACTGTTATAAAAATTTGTTAATTTAATTTTGATGCTACTTTTCGACATAGGAAAAGTATGTCGGACAAAAATATTCACCAAAAAATAAATATTTCTTTGCCAGCTTCAATAACGACAGGGGATTAAGTTTAGATGATAAAACAAAGGATTATGTTCACAGAAATACCGTAGGTCTAGTACATTCGTTACATGAGGTCACACAACTCTGGTAATATTCACGGTGAAAATTTGCATATTTGAGCGGTCGAACGAAAAAAAATTATTTCTCGCAAACTGAAATAAATTTTTATAAAAAAAACTCCACCACAATTATTAGAACATATTGGGCTACAAAATATGAAAGTAGGAGGGAAAACAAATTTGGGTGACTTGCCGCTGTTTGTCTGATGAATGCTGACATTAGCTCTTTAGAATGACAAATGAATGATTGTCACGCAACTCACCAAGGAGTGTGACAGCTGTGAGTCAACGTCATGTACCGACCCCCCAATTCATACAGCATCCGAAGGGCATCCAAACTACTATCCATTGCATGACCCCCTTCTACTCCAATCAAAGAGGCGATCTTTCCGGCTTTGTGCGCATCTTTTATGTCCTGCGCAGTGGTGGCCAAAGTAAAAGTACCCGGGTACTTATCAACCATGCGGTGGATGACGTCAATCTGCTCGAGGAACAAGCGTACCGAGTTCTTGTACTGATTGGCACAGGAAACGTACGCTGACCAAAACTGTAAGGAAAGAACGCAATGCATTGGTTAATCAATGGCTGAGTGTCTTCGACTTTTTATCTTTTGTCTTTTTTTTTTTATAAAGCAAGGAAAAATTAGATGAAGATCATTCTAAGAGGTAAAGAAATGATACCAAATATCTACATTTTTCCCGGAAAACATCTTATTTTGTTAACAGTAACCTTAAAGCACTAGCCTGTTTCCTTCAAATGACGCACTCACTCTTGAAGGAAAAGTGGTCGAGCTCAGTCCACTTACCTGCGCTCCAACTTTGCCCTTTCTTAACCTTGGAATATCAGTGTGCCATTCTGGGTTGTTCTTATCTAAAGTCACATTCTCCATTTGATTCATGAAATACTTCCTCAGTTGCCATGGAATATCGTTATGCCTGAAAAAATGAAAAAAAAAAGCAGTTAAAGGGTCACATGGTTCAAAAGGTTCTTAATCAAAGTGTGGGGTATGTTTGAGTGACAGAATTCCTATAGTACACCACAACTACTTTAATTTTCAGTCGCTTAAATCATACACATGAAAAGATCTTCCTTTCATTCACTCACTCGCGTGGTCTTGGAGGAAGTTCACTCATAGCTGACAATTTTTCGGTCATTATACCGCAAGGGTCGCAGCATGTGCAAAATGCCATGGGAGCCGTATCTTTTTGAACCATTGAACATCAAAACAGTTATTAGAGCAGAACTGTTCGAAAAAATTCATGTCATGTTTACATTCCTTTTTTTCCAAGAGGAACGGTTCGTAAAACGAGAGTACTTCCAATAATTCCCAAGTGAATAATTCCACTAGTTTGTCTGGTAGCTCGACAATAATTAGTTACCTTCTACCTAATAATGATTGCTTTACCTATCAACAAACTGAAACGGTAAAAATTGTATCGGGTGACAAGTTGAGTGCTCGAAATGACAAAAATGTAATTGTATTTCATTATTCTTTTACGTATATTCTTTTACGTATATATCAATCATCTCAAACCGTGGAATGCGATAAAACCATCTGGTCTGGTTAATGTTCGTGTCCTCCGTTGTGTAGTGCTAATTTAGGCCCGGGTCGCACTAGAGCTTTTTTTGTTTGTTTACCAAAAATCTGTTAACAAGTAGCGTAAGATAAGTGCAACCCCCAATTTGAAAAGCTTGGCGTATCGCCAAAACTTCGCCAATCTTCACAGGAGCCGATGTTCAGCCTCGGAGGCTTCCAAATTTTGGCAAACAAACAATCTTTTTTTTTAAACCATTTAGTTGTCATCGTATCCAAGACACGTCTAGATAAAATTTACGCGGGAAAAATACACTTTAATCCGCTAGCGTAGTTTGCTACGCGCGATGGCTTGACACAATAGTTTTTTTCACTGGCGGCAATTTGGAGAACAATCAGCTTCAACGAGTACTTCTCCTTCTATTGGAGTTATCGAGGCCAACACAAGTGGTGCAAGCTGCAACCAAAAATATCAGCAGGAAAAAAAGAAATGAAATACGATACATGGGTAGTACTTGAGTGATCAAATTGAGTCGGTTCAAAAGAGGGCTCTAAAAATCATTTTCCCGTTTATGAGTTATGAGGACGCGCTTAAGAAGTCAGGCTCAATTAATCTATGCCAGAGGAGGGAGGATGCATGCTTCACTTTCCTTAAGCGGAGTTACTACTCTTCTGACCTACTACGAAATTTAGTACCGCGATGTCAGTTTTCAAGACCATATGCCCTTAGGGCAGGAAGAACTGTGTCTGTACCTACCTACTCAAGATCTATTAGATTTGGAAATTTTTGTACCATTAAATATCAGAATCATGTGTAATATACTTAACTGCAATTTATCTTATTACTTATCGTATTTAATGTTTACACAATATTTAATATTTATATTTAATTGATATCTAAAATAGTTCTATGTATGCATAATGTAGAAGTATTTGTAAATTATGATCCGCCTTGTAATTCAGTTTCTACTGCAAGAAGGCTGAATAAACCATCATCATCATCATCATCATCATCATGGTCCCAATCTCGTTCCATGACTCCGTCGGACGCGAAAAAGACTACGACCAAGGACGGTTTAAAAGCGAGCACTATTTAGCGAGGTCTTCGTCTTCTACTTCTAAAAGCTGGAACTAGATGCATAGAAGCCTGCTGATAATGTATCAACAATGTGAAAAACGCTACGCAACTTGTACGTAGAATGCTAAATTCCACGAAAACCCGAGAGCACAAAGATAATGATTCGACAACAATCTATTCTTTCAAGTAATTCGAGCGAGAACATTTCTTTACCTTTCAATGAAGGGAGATAGGTTAGTTATTGCCGTATGTGTCAATGAAGTTTTGGTCAGAGGATACTAGTTTAATGCGACCGCAATTTTTGGCGCGCGAAAAATTGGCAAATATTTGAATTCGCTCTTGTGCGACCTGGCTCCCCCCAAAAAAATTTATTTGATTTTTGTCAACTCTCAATGAAATATTTCAGCCTCCTTATAGTCACAGACCACTTTCCCTCCCCCCTCAAACCAATATATTCACCCCGTTTCTATTAGTAAAGCAAGTCAAGAAGCGAGCAAGCACAGAAATAAATTAATATTGGAGAAATTGAAAACAGAAAGAGAGGAAGGATTTGAATCAACAGATTTATTAATTTAAGATAATTTTAGACTGACAAGATAGGTCTTCGCTTTCGCAAATCTTTCTTACCGCATAATTCGATAAGAGTACTCTCTCTTGCGAAAGTATGTCCTAACTACCCCTAACAAACTGCTCAATATTTAAAAATAGAACGTGATAAGTACAAAATATCGAACTGGCGTTCTTCTAAACTGAATTGGTACCGACGTTTACCGGATTCTGTTTTATGGTCGTGAGAATATGCTCATCGGTGAAACACATTTAGAGACAAAATAACATCGTTATATCTGATATTCCCGTCAATTTTTCCCGTTGTGTACCTGCCCCTTTAAACTCAGATGTTGTTTCTTGATAAGCGGGGAATAACTTAAAATACGTAACTTTATAAGTCGTCTTGAGCGTCGTCTAGAGAGTTTTCTTAGAACATGTCAAAAGAGGGCGTATCAATTTACAACCTGTCTCAACGAGCTGTCGAAAGACATAGCCAGGCGAGCCTTTACATTGCTTTCTCTGTTTTCCGTAGGAAATGTTCTCGTGACTTTTCTTTCAACTTTGCGCAGAAAACGAAGGGCTCATGATTTTATCTTTGAACGGCTTAATCAAAGGAAACAACCAATAACAGAGATGAGCAGCTTTACGCACTGTGAAACGCGCTTTTCTCTCTTCCCTGCACGCGGCACGCGCGCGCGCTTTGTACTTTGACCGAAATCACATAACTAGTGACATAGTGTCCCGCATAACTCTGGAGCAATTCCCTTTTGTCCTCCTCCTTCCGAGCTGGTTTCAAAGGTTTTTTTATAGCAAAGAATAGATTGAATAGGATTTCTTACCCGTCAACAAGTGGAGTCTCTTCCAACACTTGTGCAGCACGCTGTGTAAGGCTTGATTCATCTCTAGTACTCTTCTTTCCTGTCAACACTGCTATGGGTACGGCAATGGCGATTACAAGAACGACCACGACTACCGTTCCAATAATAATAACTTTCTTATTCATTCTGATGATGGTTAATTTGAAGAGGAATACAGAAGGCTGCACTGAAGTCGGTCACAAGATAATGACTAGACTAGCTTGCACAAACGTAGTGAGTCAACTATTTATTAAATTTATATTTTTCTTCTTAATTTTCACATTTCTCGCGCGTTCATTGGTCGATAGCAATAAAGCACAGTATAACAACTGACCAGGCTATTGTTTAGAAGCGTAAATAGAGGATTCAATTACAAAGTGCGCTTTGCACAGATTTGTTCAAAGAGTTTGTCTCTGAATTGATCGTGGTTAGAGTTAATGAGTAAAATGGGCTGTGAACGGCTCTATTCATTATGTTTCCTGTTCAGCTTTGCTTTTGTTGTCAGCTGTGTTCCAGCCACTCGTGATCGTAGCCGTCGTGCGGCTGTGGATTACCTTGCTACGGCCAATAAGATCCTTGATGAAACACCTTTAGTGGATGGGTGAGTTAGTCATGTATGTAGCTTTGAAAGACCTAACATTTGTGTTTGACTCAGTCTAAAGGCAAAGATGCGTTTTGTGTAATGGAAATAAGGTTAAGAACCAGCAATTTACGATATATTGTCTAATCTGGGGCTCGAGTGTTGGCTCAAGCGATGAAAGGCGGATCACCTATCGAACGCGCGCGCGCTTTCACTTGAGATACCACCTAGCACTGACAATCCGTTTTGAATTAGACAACTACCGTGAATAGCAGTTGCTGGCAACGAAATCGAAATTAAGTTTCTCCGGGAATATTTATTCTGATGAGTGGATGCAGCCTCTTCGTTATTTACGATTCAAAAATGCTTTCTTAAACCGATACGATGCGTTTCCACGGCATACATATCCAGCTTACAAACGACAACGTAAATCGCCTCCGCGAGAGAAGTGAAATAATTTTTGTAGCCGAAGAGGAAAATCCTGTAGTCTTTCGACAGGGTCCAAGCAATTCTTTACCTAAAACTCCCCCGGAAAATTCTCATACAACTGGCATGCGGTAGACGTTTCCTGTTACAATTGTATCACGCGTGAAGAGAGTCGCGGTTAGCACTCGAGCCATTTACGGACAGGCGGTGTGCGCACTCTGATTGCGTTGCATCGTGGTCGTAAAAGAAAAGTAAGTAATTTGCATCCTGTTGGTCGAGTGAATATCTTTGGCAGCCAGAATAGCGTGAATGTACGTGAAAAATAAGGGGGATTCACCGTCTGTTGCCTTTCATTTGAAAGTTAAAAAGTGTTGACGGGCCTGCGCGGCTCCTGTGATTCCTCAGCGACGAATTCGCTCTTAGGAGGCATCCTTCCCCGCCTCCTTTAAGGTGAAACGGAAGGGAGGGTTACCATTCTGTCAAGAAGAGAGCTTCGAATCGTAATTTTAAAACTACAAAAAAAAACCTCAGCTTGGGAACTCACTTCAGCAATAAGGGCATTCCTTATTGCTGAATAAGTATTCCTTCCTGTCGATTCGTTGTCTTGCTTCTCGGCACCGGCATTCTCCGGCTTTTCCTTTTTTGCCTTTGCAACTTTGCCCAATATTGTGTCGTCCTCCTCAACGCTCCACTGAGCAATCGAGATAATTAAAAAACTGTGTCTGCAATGAGATACTTTTCCTGGGAAATCTTGATCCATTGTCATTGACGCCAGAGGTCCATTGTCCCATTGGTTTGCGGTTTCAGGAGGCGAGATGTAAAGAATAATACACGAGCGCGCGTAGATATGGAATTTCTCTTCGAGTGTATAACTCGATAGCTCACGAGCGCAGTGAACGAGTGAGATGTCAAGTGGAACACGAGAAGGGAAATTCCATATCCACAAGCAACCATGTATTATTTTGTTTATCATATAAACACAATAGCCGACTACATTTATAAATGAAAATAAATGAATCGACAAATTCCGAGTAACAATCGTAGAGTGCGTCGGCGCTAACTCCCAAATGGAAAAATCCGTTGACTCATGATTACAAAAACAACAATGGTCGTAATTTTCAATTTACAAAAGTCTCGTTTATTGACTTTGTCCTTACCGACAGAAGAAGTCTTTCAGGTAAACGGCAAAAATCAGCTAGTGGCAAATCTTCCAGTTGTCGATTTTCATTCTCAGCCGAGAGAAATGCTAACACCAAAGCCACTGAATACGTAACTTTCGGTTTTTCTTTTAGTATATTGGTTTTCTTCCCCTTCTAGAAAAGTTTGAACCTCACTGTCTGTCAGCGATACGGATTTTTTAGTGTTTTAGCCGCCCTAATTCGAGAAAGCTCCGACAAACAACTTGTATTAAGAATCGTGAGCTTAATCGTGAGATTAAGAAGCTATTCATTCATCGACTTGTCCGTTGACATGACCTGACCGTTCACAGTGACGTGTCAGCAGCTGATTGGCTATATCAACACACGTGTATGGTAGCCGAGGGCTGCCACTCAAAATTTTACAATTTTTCAAAGATTTAAAGATTTAATAATGATGCGTGGTATGCGTGGTATCCCAATAGCTTTCCAGGCCCGTTTGGCTCAGTTTCAAATGCCTTCATAACAGCACCATCGTTGAAAAATATGTCCAAATGACGAAGCCTTCTATCAAGCATACTTAGACTCCACGCGGAAAGTCACGAGTGAGGAAATCTAACATCTCTCATCTTTGTAATCCTCGCCCGACATATTTTAGCAAAGCCTCTTTAAGATCGGCATTATTTTTCCACAAGGCCTCTCTGAAATCTGACATCGAAATACTAAAAAACTCTTCTAAATCACTCAAGATCAAAACTACTTCACAACTTGAGTACATGGACACAACGCACGATGGGACCTACAATCACGCCCGCACAGTATCATGGTAGTGACAGCCCTCAGCCACAGCGATATTCACTTGGACTTTTGTTTTGATTTGATATTGAGTTTATTCTTTATTTCGACGTGAATTGCCCTTGGATTTCAGTTTAATTTTGGAATGATTTTTACTTTGATAATGCAATTACTTTTGCTTTTAAATTTGCTTGCTACTTCATTTTACTTTCAATGGTTCTTTTTCCTTTGTTTTGCAGTCACGTTCCATTTTACTTTCAGTTTTGATTTATTTTTTCTTTTATTTTTTTTAATCTTTGAAAAATTGTAAAATTTTGAGTGGAAGCCCTCGACCACCACACTAGTGTGTTGTTACGGCTCCTCTCAGGGCTAGAAGTATGTGTTATTCACCAGAAGGGAGGTCCGTATTGGGAAAAACTGTGCCCGAGGCCTTGGTACACAAGACAGAGGGCACAGTTTTTCCCAATACGGACCGACCTTGGCTGGTGAATAATATTTGTATTTTTTTCTAAAACCTGACAAATGGTTGCGAAAACAACCTGAACGATAAAGGGCTGTAATTACGGCAAGATTCTCCATAAATGGAACAATTTATGAGCGAGTAGATGGTAGAGAAAACAATGGTAACGCAAATGAAAGAGAGAGGTTTCATCAAAACATATTTATTTGCTTAATGATATTAAAAGGTGATTTAAAAGACTTCCAAGAAAACTTCGAAACATTTTTTCGGAGAACACTGCCCGCTCTCGGAACCAATCACTTAGAAATTTTGTAATGTCCCTACAATAACGCGTTTTCGCAGCCATGACCGGTCTCAAACACTAGCACTTAAAATGCATAAAACACGAGTACTGTTGAAGTGCGTTTGAGAGCGTTTGGTTGGAGCTGTTGCAGATCGATCAAAGCGGCCATCTTTACCTTTGAAAGGCTTCCAACTACGACGTACATCAAATTTGACCTTCTTGAAAACCGGTCTCAAAATACATACTTAAAACAGTGATCGCGTTTGTCCCCAAGAACCGGTGAATACGTGACACATGTGAATCATAACTACACACAGTCAGAATAAATCAAATTACATTAGCCTAGGGTGAAAAAAAAAAGAACGGCCTAACTTTTGCGGAATATTCCTTCAAAATCTACTGATTTCTACCGATTTCACCGCCACAATAAAAGTAACGTTACCACTATGCAACGGAATCGGAGTGCGCCCACTGCATGGTTTACGCACGTGTTGCGAACAGAACACTTCGCACTGTCTAGATAGATTGACCAGTCTGGCAATTACAAGAACAAACACAACCACGTTTCTAATAATGGAGACTTTCATATTAACTTTTATTTGTTTAATCCAAAGAGGATCACAAAAGGCTGCGCTGAATTCGAACACAAGATAGTGCATAAACTTGACTAAAATAGTTTTAACCATTTACTTATAAGAATAATATTTTCGAAGCGTTTTGTTGACAAAACACCCCCCCCCCGTCTGTCTTAAATTAGCGTCTATCATAGGTTTAATTATATGAGTCTTTTTCCACTTTGTGTCTGGTTTCAGTGTTTCATTTCATAATTCTTCGACAGCGCATTTTGTTTGAAGATGTTATCGATCAGTCAACAAGTCGCGTAAAAGAAGTGTTCCCAAATTCTAGGAACCAGAAATTAGGTCTTTTTAAGCATAAAACTGTCATGTATTAAATACATGTCTAGATAGAATTACTTCGGGAACTGATCTGTGGTCAGGCAAAGTGTACTTGTTCTAAATGCAGATTCACCTTATAGTAGAAAAGCCTACTGATACTACACTAACATCGGAAATGCTATGATGTATTACTGAAACTCAATAAAAAAAAACTCCGAAAGAGGGGTTTATTCAATTCATTTGTGTGTAGGATTCGTGTATTTCTTTGTTAACGAAAGTTTGGTTAAAACATGTTAGTTTGATGCGACCACCACAAAATTTGGACCAGTTGAGGTTGACCGCGTAAAGCAGATACCACATATTTGGGATATTGCAGAGAAACGGTGAAACGTCATTTTGTGCCATATTTGGCCACCCAATGTACGAAAACGCGATCCAAAATACTACGAACATTGATTCCGAGAGAAAAATATAGAGTGAATTTTACTTGAAAAAAATTATCCTTTAGTTTCATTTGAGTGGTCCCGCTCTAAGTGCAGGACTGTTCAATACAGGTGGAGGACAATATAAACAGACCGCTGGGACTCAGTAAAGGGAAACTTACATTAATTGAAGGGAATAAATTCCGGGAATTTGAAAACCGGCCGCTTGATACAGGGTAATATAGATTCGATTGTAGTTTTGTAAACTCGCTCAAATGATCTTGGAAATCGTTAATTTATCAGGATCTCCCGCCCTCCAGAGAAATGTAAAACGCGTAAGAGCATTCCCTATCGATGCTTAGGCCTGTGATAATGAGATACAGTTTTCGAAGCCTTAAAAGTCATTTTCCAATCGATGTTTTCCTTTCAAATTTTTTGCAGGTTTGTGATCTTTTCGTTTGCAATTTGCATTTACTTTGTTTTTTTCTTTCCCTCTTTTTTTCTCAAATACATTTTTGACCGAGCTATGATTTAATTCAGGCCAGTTTCTTTGCAGACACAATGATATTCCTTATCAGATCCGTATGAAGTACAAGAACAGGTTTGAAAATCTGACTTTTGACACGGATGAGTCAGGATGGCATACAGATATACCCCGACTAAGAAAAGGAAAAGTTGGCAGTCAGGTAATATTAAATGCTATTTAAATACAGCCTCTGTGTGATTGGGTTATTTAGCAATGCTGCATTTAGGGAGAAACTTCCTTATTTAGAGCCTAAGCTATCATTTCTATTTCTGCCTGGCAGACTTGGAAGTGATGGAATATGATTATACAGAGGATGGGCGTGGCAATGAATTGTCACTCTGTGCAGATAGAATTTGCATTCAAAATGGCGCATGTGGTTTGTTGTGGACAAAAGAATCTTATTGCTTCAGAATGGTTTTTTAGTTGTTTTCAGTATGTTTAACTTTATTGCTTAACTTGAAGTATGCTTATCAACTTGCAAACGCATATGAAAAGCAATTGCCTACATTGCCTTAATTTACACATGTGCTTTTAACTGAAAAGTCATTGCTAACAATGCCCTAACTTACGCTTGTGTTTTTATAAAATCACAATATTCCGTCCTGGAAAGTGTCTCGAAGGTGGGTACCAGATTCTAATGCAAGTGGGTACCCTAAAACAAAATTGATATCATACTGCTCACGTAATCCTTAACCTACGATTTTCACTTGTCGTATACAGTTTTGGGCAGCCTGGTCATCATGTGATGTACGACTGAAAGATGCCGTGAGAATTGGCCTGGAACAAGTGTCTGTCATTCATCGACTAATTAACAAGTATTCAAATGACCTGGTATTTGTGAAGACAGCGCAAGGTATTAGAGATGCAAAGAAGAATAACAAGATTGGATCTCTGATTGGCCTAGAGGGTGGTCACATGATTGACTCGAGCCTAGCCACTTTACGAATGTTTTATAATCTTGGAGTTAGATATATGACGCTGACTCATTCCTGCAACACTGCATGGTAAGATGCCTCCTTTTTTCAATATTCTAGAAAAAATCAAGCAAATTCTTTAGTATCAGCTTTTGTTCCATGTTTAGAAGAAAGCAGTACAACATGATTGAATTACTTGAAGATCTAGTTGCACAATAATTGATGAAGTATTGTGCAGGAACTGAACTATAAGAACAAAATGTGCCTGCCAACTCTTCTTTGATGTTCACATATTTCAAGCACTATAATTAATGTCCTTCTCAATTAAGTTAACAATTGGTCAAGAAGCTAGAATTGCTCGAGGCCGAGAGCAACTCTTACGCATCTTTCGTGCTCTCCAAACTTCGCAAGTGCTTCATATCTCGATGAACGCACAGCTGACGTATGAACCAATTGTTTTATAACATTTCAACCCAATGGAAAATTTTTTTCTCAAGGGATTTGTTTGCTGACGTCATGAGTGTGCACAATAGGAATATGAAGCACGCTTACGCAATTGAATTAGATTAGACAACTATTTTATAATATTCATTTGTACGTCTTTGTGAATCAGATGTTGAGAGTCTTTTTAATGGATCATGGGCAGAAAAAAATGTCCTCTATAAAGACGAAGGAAAGGTTCTACAGAGAATTTAATGAAAGAGACAAATTGTAGGGTCTGTGCTTCTTACTAGATTAAGAAGTCTATAGAGTGAAGCTATCCTCTTCGCTCAGTTTCTTGGTCTTGTCGTTACTTCAGGGCTGATGGGTGGACAGACAAACTTTCAGGAGAGATCCATAATGGTCTTACAGACTTTGGAAAGGTAAATATTATAATTATAAACATGCAAATGGTTTCCACACAGCACTATGTTACATGGCGCTATGCTGAGATTGTCTTCTGGTAACATTAAGAGTGCTTTAGAAAAGTTGAAGTGGCCTCAGAGCTAATAGACTGTATGAAATTGTATGACTGTGTAAAGTTGTGCTTGTTTTTTAATATTCTGATGCAATTCTCGCATGGCAATCGAACAAAGACCAAGGAATAAGCGGAAACGTTGAAACAACGACTCGAGGTGAAGAAAATAAGTTCTAAGTTCTTCCGATTGTTGAAAAAACGAAATCAGTGGCTTCTTCGTTTTCTGAACTCAACGACTCAAACAACAAAAATAAAGCCGTTGTTTATTTCATTGCTCTTAGTTTTGTAGAAATGTCCAACTACAAAATTTCCCTCGTTAAATCTGTGTGCGAGTGTAAGTTGCCGCTCGTTCAACTTTCCAAACGCACGAGCAAGAATTTTCTCTCACATCATCATAATTTTGAACCAGCATTTTAAGAAATGTTTGGGTTCTCTAGGATGAAAAAAAAGGTTTTTATTCAGAAGGTACCACGATAGGGGTGAAGGCCATGATACACAGAAACGTGTCCTGTTCCGTTAGCGTATTCTTAGAACCGCTGAAGTCTGCGTTCTAGCATGCCGTGTGTCTGTTTCATTTTTTTTTTGTTTATCGCTCTTGCTGTTTCTCTGATTTTAACCTTGCCAGTTTCCATGGAATCTTATGTATGACGCCGTCCTGTTTGCTTCACTCTAGGCTGCACCAGTTGTGACCGAAATGTTTTGTGCGATTTGAAAACGTTTCGAACACGTAAGAGAGAGCCGCAACTGATTTGAAATCCTGTGAAGGCTCTTTTGCAACTTTTGATTTCAAAATTAATTTTAAAAAAATATCCATCAATCAAAGTAATTCAGCAACGGTCTACGATTCATAGATTGATGCGGTAGTTTCCACAGTACGTAGACTCAGTCGATTACTGTTTTTCTTCGAGTCATACAAAGATATACAGTATAAAGTGTTTGAGCATGTTTTCGTATCTTGCAATTGTCAAATCTACCA